TGCCTGTAATCCCAGCTACTCAGGTGGCTGAGGCAAAAGAATCACTTGAACCCAGGAGGCAGAGTGCAGTGAGCTGAGACTGCACCACTGCACTCCAGCCTGGGCGACAGCGCGACTCTGTCTCAAAATAAATAAATAAATAAATAAATAAATAAATAGCACACATCAAAAGGAAATTTTCTACAGGGCTTAGAATAGCATTATAGACTCATCTTCCCAGTTTCTACACTTTAATATCTGCTGCTAAGTTGCTACATGTACATTTCTATGCTCATCTTCCCCATGCAGATTGTGAAGACAAAGGCAGAGGCCATGTCATGGGGTGGAAGCAACTACTTCGATCACTAACAGTGGCTGGAATAGTGTTCTACTCCAGGTATACTCTTCATAATTGCTGGAAAATGATCATTATAGACAACTGACCCACCTTCTAACTATTCAGTATCATAGATTCTCAACAGAACAACTGATTGGTCTATAAGCCTTCTCTCAAACACTCTTCCTCATGTTGAGCTTCACAGTTATCATCTTGGAGACTCAGAAAATGATTCAGCTTTGAGCTTGCTAACTCAGCAGTCTGATGCATTAGCAGAAGCCAAGATTTTTTTTTGAAGGATGCCAAATCCATAGCAAAAGCCAAGATTTTTTTGATAAAATAAAATGCATTTTGGTAGAATTTAAATAAAACCAGAGTATTCACAGCTATTCCAATTTCCAAACAGCTCATTTTAAGAAACTTAGAAAACTGAAAGAATTTGACCAACTTCTATGCACCCTTTGCTTTTTCTGCAGTACCCAGAAAAGGACACAAATCCCCTAACTTAGTATTATAGAATTCTTTTACAAATAGCTGATAACATTACTGTTTGAAATTTACTTTGGATGCTGAATAACATGAGTGTAATCATTCAAAACATGCTTATGGTCTGAACTCGTTTTTTTTTTTTTTTTCGAGACAGAGTCTTGCTCTGTCACCAGCCTGGAGTGCAGTGGTGCAATCTTGGCTCACTGCAACCCCCACCTCCCAGGTTTAAGCAACTCCCCTGCCTCAGCTTCCTGAGTAGCTAGACTACAGGCATGTGCCATCATGCCCGGCTAATTTTTTGTATTTTAGTAGAGACAGGGTTTCACCATGTTGGCTAGGATGGTCTCAATCTCCTGACCTTGTGATTTGCCTTCTTCAGCCTCCCAAAGTGCTGGGATTACAGGTGTCAGCCACCAGGCCTGGCCCATGGTCTGAACTTGTAAATATCAGGTTATAAAGTGAAATCAGGGTCAGATGTATAACAAAAAAAATTTTTTTAAGAGACAAGGTCTTGCTCTGTCACCCAAGCTAGAATGCAGTGGTGTAATCATAGCTCACTGCAGCCTGGAGCTCCTGGGCTCAAGCGATCCTTCCTCCTAAGCCTCCCAAGTAGCTAGGACTACAGCCACATGCCACCATGCCCAGCTAATTTTTTTTTTTTTTTTTTTTTGTAGAGAGGAGGTCTTGCTATGTTGCTCAGGCTGGTCTCAAACTCCTGGCCTCAAGCAATCCTCCCCACTTGGCATCCCAAAGCCCTGGGATTATAGGTGTGAGCCACTACATCCAGCTTGTATCAAAATCTTGACCACACTTGGGACTTAACAATTAACTTCTATTACTTCAAAGTATTAATAAATCTCTGAACTTTTTTCTATTAAGTCTAATGTTTGATACTGAAAAAGCTAAAGTCATTGGAGAGTTTTTACTTCTACACTTGTTTTTCAAATAAAAATTAAATTGAAAGCAAAGAAACTATAAATACAAACGGGTCTGGCCCCTCATGCATATATACATACATACAAGGTTTTTATTCTTAACATCAGTTACCTTCTGCCCTTCTCACAAAGCTTCTCAATTTCAGCTTTCAGATCCTGCTCCTTCTGTAAAAACTCCTTCTTTTCTTTCTCTATCTTCTTCTTTGTTTCTTCTCGTTTTATTGTCACATCCTGAATAGCCTTTAGTATCTCCTGAGTTCCACACAATTACAGTCGAACACAAATAAAAAAGAAAACAAGTTAGTTCTTCTGATGTGAAGGTTATTTTCAACTATCACAAATTCACATATTGACTTTAGTGAATTCAAACTGAATTCAAAGAATATGGTTGATGAGTAGCTCCAAAAGCCAGTATTCAGACCCAAAGGAGAAGGTTATAGTAATGCAGATTGCAACTCAACAAGAAAAATAATTTCTAGCAACCACAATTGTTCAAAAAAGGAATATACTGCCTTGCGAAGCAGTAAGCTCTCCATTACTCGTGTTCAAATAAAGGCTGAATGAACATGAACACCTGTCAAGAATGCTGAGAAAAGAGTTCTTGTACCAGGTGGGAGTCTGTACATCCAACAAGCATTGTCTTGTTTCGTTTTGTGAAGAGTCTACTTTACTATGCATGGGTTTTATTTGTTTTACTATTTAACAACAACAAATACACACACACACACACACGTACAAACACACACACGTACAAACACACATGCTTTTTTTTTCAATTAGGAGTCAAATAGGCCAGGAGCAGTGGCTCATGCCTATAATCCTTGCACTTTGGGAACCCAAGGCAGGAAGATCACTGTGTCCAGGAGTTAGAGACCAACCTAGGAAACATACAAAGACCTTGTCTCTACAAAAAGTAAAAAAATTAGCCAGGCGTGGTGACACATGTCTGTGGTCCAGATACTCGAGAGGCTGAGGTGGAAGGATAGCTCGAAACCAGAAGGTCAAGGATACAGTGAGCCTTGATTGTACCCACTGTATTCCAGCCTGGGCAACAGAACAACACCCAGTTTCAAAAAAAAGTAAAACAATACAAAGGCGATGAAGAGTCACCCCCACCCCCACTTCATACCACTTCCACCCATAAGAGTAATCAATATGTTAACTGCTTTGTATTACACTTTCACATCTTTCTTTATGCTCACACAAAGGCATGTATACTTAGGTATGCATTTCTTTGCTTTTTTTTTTTAAATGAAGTTATTTTACATACATTATTTTGCATCCTGATTTCTTTTACTTGACATGAATGTATTATGTCAATAAATATGGATCTAATTCAAAAATACCTGTATAATATAACACAGGTGTATCTAACTAATCCGAACATTCTCTACTAAAAGTCTGAGTATTAACACCTTTTTTTTGAGACAGGGTATCGTTCTGTTACTCAGGCTGGAGTGCAGTGGCACAATATCAGCTCACTGCAACCTCTGCCTCCTGGGCTTAAGCAATCCTCCCACTTCAGCCTCCCATGTAGCCGGGACCACAATGCCTTGGACAGGCACTACTGAATGTTTCTTGTGTGCACCACCATGCCCAGTTCGTTTTTGTATTTTTGGTAGAGATAGGGTTTTGCTATGTCGCCCAGGCTGGTTTGAACTCCTAGACTCAGTGATCCACCTGCCTCGACCTCTAACAGTGCTGGGATTACAGGTGTGAGCCACCATACTCGGCCTTGCCTTTTTATTTCAATTAACTCAAAAATAAAATCAAAGTTTGAGCCGGGCATGGATGGCTCAAACTTTATTTTTGAGTTAACTGAAATAAAAAGGCCTCCTTTGGGAGGCCAAGGCGGTTGAATTTTTTGAGTCTGGAGTTCAAGACCAGCCTGGGAGACATGGTAAAACCCCATCTCTACCAAAAATACAAAAAATGAGCCAAGCATAGTGGCACACGCCTGTGTTTCCAGCCACTTGTGAGGCTGAGGTGGGAGGATCGCTTGAGCCCAGGAGGCAGAGGCTGCAGTGAGCCAAGACGGGGCTATTACACTCCAGCCTGAGTGACACAGTGAGACTCTGTCTCAAAAATAAATAAATAAAAAGTTTTAAACAATTAAAGTTTGATCAGGGACTGTTGCTTAACTCACTGACAATTTCAATATAAGCAGAATACCTGGTGATTCTTCATTTCTTCTTCTCTCCTTTGCTGAAGCTGCTTTAACTGCACTTGGAGCTGATTCTCCACTTGCCTCTGTTTGTCCAGGACTTCCTGGTAACGCTCTTTCAACAGGGTTCTCTCTGTCATCATTTTATCCTATTATGAACAAGACCAGAAAAGTTTATTTCCTAATTTAATCACAAGAAACATTCACTAGTGCCTGTCCAAGGCATTGTATAGAGCTCTATGACTACACTATCCAATATTGAAGCCACTAGCCACATGTGGCTATATTAATTTAAATTCATTAAAATATGATGAAATTGGCTGGGCATGGTGGTTCACACCTATAATCACAGCACTTTGGGAGGCTCAGGCGGGCAGATCGCTTGTGTTCAGAAATGAGAGACAGGCTTGAGCAACATGGCAAAACCTTGCCTCTAAAAAAATTTAAAAATTAGCTGAGCATGCCAGCACTCAACTGTAGTCCCAGCTACTTGGGAGGCTGAGGTGGGACGATCACTTGAGCCTGGGAGGCGGAGGTTACAGTGAGCTGAGATCATGCCACTGCACTTCAGCCTAGGCAACAAAGCAAGACTGTCTCAAAAAAGCGTCCAGGAACATGATTCCTTACTGCTTAATAATAACACTGAAAACTGATGGATCTACTCAAGAGGTCTGGGAACCTGGTATGGAGACTGAACAATTCAGCACGCTTTCATATAAAGTAGGGATTAGAAGCGAAGCTTCTAGCCTAGGCACAGTGGCTCCTGCCTATAATCCCAGCACTTTGAGGGGCCAAGGTGGGAAGACTGCTTGAGGTCAGGAGCTCATAACCAGCCTGGGCAACACAACAATACCTGGCCTCTATCAAAAAATAACAATAATAAATAAATAAATAGAAGTGCTACTGAAAACAGTTTAGTTCTGCCACCCCCATGTCAGTAAATCAAGAAAATCAATGGTTACCTTTCAAAGGGACATTAAAATTTGAAGAGGGTCAACTTAAAACACATTTGGTATGAAGTAGCCTGTGTAATATTTAAATTGAGAGCTCTAAACTGAATTTTTTCATTAAATAATAACCATTTTTAAAAAGTTTTAGAAATGAATGGGGGAAACATCATATTATAATCATTTTTATGAAAGGCTCTCAAGGCTGGGCGCGGTGGCTGATGCCTGTAATCCCAGCACTTTGGGAAGCTGAGGTGGGCAGATCACTTGAGGTGAGGAGTTCAAGACCAGCCTGGCCAATGTGAAATCCCATCTCTCCTAAAAATACAAAAACTAGCTGGGCATGGTGGCACACGCCTATAATCCCAGCTTGGGAGGCTAAGGCAGGAGAACGGCTTGAACCTGGGAGGCAGAGGTTGCAGTGAGTGAAGTGCGCACCATTGCACTCCAGCCTGGGTGACAGAGCAAGACTCAGTCTCAAAATAAATAATTAAATTAAATTAAATTAAATTAAAAATAAAAAAGGCTCTCAAGATAGAACTTTGGCTTTGGCATAAGCTGATCTTTAGTCCATGTACTGAAATGTGACTAAGCTGTCCCAAATAGCTGATTCCTTAGCATCATGCCTTTCTAGCAATTCTGAACCTGGATTCTACAGGTGAACCTCAGGAAATCTTTGAACTCTCTGCAACTAGTGTATGTATATATTTTTTTGAGATGAGAATTCCAAGTTTCCAAAAGATTCTGAAAGAGGATCTTAACCAAAGAAAAGTTGAAACCAGCAGATTATTATTTTTTTGAGACGCAGTCTCACTCTGTTGCCCAGGCTAGAATGTGGGGGCACAATCTCGGCTTACTGCAACCTCTGCCTCCCGGGTTCAAGCGGTTCTTGTGCCTCAGCCTCCCAAGTGGCAGGGATTAAAGGCATTGCACTAACACGCTCAGTTAATTTTTGTATTTTTAGTAAATAAGGGCTTTTGCCATGTTGGCCAAGCCAGTCTCAAACTCCTGGCCTCAAGCAATCCAGCTGCCTCAGCCTCCCATAGTGCTGCGATTACAGGTGTGAACCACTGCACCCAACTCTTTTTTTTCCTTTTTTTTTGAGACAGAGTTTTGCTATGTCTCCCAGGCTGGAGTGCAGTGGTGCGATCTCAGCTCACTGCGATCTCTGCCTCCTGGGTTCAAGTGATCTTGGCTCACTGCAATCTCTGCCACCTGGGTTCAACTGATTCTCCCGCCTCAGCCTCCCAAGTAGCTGAGATTACAGGCATGTGTCACCATGCCCAACTAATTTTTTTTGTATTTTTAGTAGAGACAGGGTTTTACCATGTTGCCCAGGCTGGTCTCAAACCCTTGACCTTAAGAGATCCACACACCTCGGCCTCCCAAAGTGCTGGGATTACAGGGATGAACCACCACACATTGCCTTTTTTTTTTTTTACCACAATTCTTTCCCTTTACTTCCTTCTTTTCCTAAAATACATTTTAAAAATTATTATTATTATTATTATAGAGATGAGGTCTCACTATGTTGCCCAGGCTGGTCTTGAACTTCTAGACTCAAGCAATCCACCCACCTCAGCCTCTTAAAGTGCTGGGATTATAGGCATAAACCACCGCACCCCACTTATGATGCATGTTTAGGACACAGGATCGGGGAAAAACTAGTATCATGGAAAAAAGTCTTAAGGTACATACTATTACAACATACAAGGAGATAACTTAAAGGTGTGCTTGAACCAATTTGTCTATCTTAATGAGCCAAAGGGTTTATACACTGTTACTCTGCTTCATCAGTGGCTAGTTGGTTCCTAGGACTAGGAGTAACAATTTCAAATGTAGGTAGTGGGCAATGGTCATAAATATATGAAAAGGGTAGAAAACAGAACAGGAGTCAGGTTTCTTATACTGCCACCAAGCTTAACAACCTGCTTAGTTTCACTGCCTTTTTGTTTTGTTTTGTTTCTGGAGACAGAGTCTCGCTCTGTCACCCAGCCTGGGCTCACTGCAACCTCTGCCTCCCGTGTTCAAGCAATTCTCTGGAGCAGCCTACAGAGTAGCTGTGATTACAGGTATCAGCCACTATGTCTGGCTAATTTTTGTCTTTTTAGTAGAAATGAGGTTTCACCATGTTGGCCAAGCTGGTGTTGAACTCCTGACCTCAGGTGATATGCCCGCCTTGGTCTCCTAAAGTGCTGGGGTTACAGGCATGAGCCACCGCACCCGGCCTCACTTCCTTTTTAAAAGCATATGGACCTCACTACCACACATAAATAGAGTCAAACGAAACACAACCTTGGGCCTCTTTTGGCTCAGTAACTTGCTGGGTTTCCATTCATTCCTGCTAATCGTAACTTGACTGTTACAATTAAGTCCCGAGTTGCTACACTCTATTTTAAAATTTTTATTGGCTTCATCTGGTTAATGTCCACCAATAACTTTTTTCCATCTGCCCTTCAATTTCTTCAGTTTGTACCAAATATCCACTCTCTTATCTGGTTGCCACAAGCACTTTCTCTTTTTATACCCTCTTCATAAATTAACCTATCTTATCCTAAAGACCTCTTCCTAAGGTGCCTTTCCCAGCATTACTTTCCCTTTAAAAAATGTACATTTAGATATCCATATATTTAAAGGTGGAAGTTTTAGCCACAAAATGCCCGGGATGGATCAAAGGAAACATTTTAACAAAGATAGGTGTGATGCTCTGTACTTATGTTTCAAAAACCAACTATCTGGGGATAAAATTAGAAAGACAAGTAAATAATACATTGAAAAAAGGCTGGATGGAGTTTGACTAAAAGCTTAACAGTATGACAGAGTTGCCAAAATAAGTCAATGTAAGCTTAAGAAATACTGCCTAGAATGAGAGATACCGAGAGACCCACTGTATTGTAAAGTAATTATACTATCTCTATACTATTACATATGGTTCTCAAGATCGCTTTTTAAAACAAATACTGATAAAATGGAACACGTCTAGGTGAAAGTAACCAGAATGATAATACAGAAATGGAAAACAGTATCAAAAAGAATACTAAAAACATCTGGGGATGTTTCACCTGGAAAGGTTTGAACTTGGGAAATAAGAGAATAAAGGGAAGAGGCATAAAAAAACTTTAAAATATACACAAGGCTAACAAGGAGAAAAGGAACTGGATGTATTCCATAAAGCTCAAGAGAAAGCTATAATAAGAATTTTTTTTTTTTGAGACTGAGTCTTGCTCTGTTGCTAGGCTGGAGTGCAGTGGCACAAACTCAGCTCACTGCAACTTCCACCTCTGGGGTTCAAGTGATTCTCCTGCCTCAGTCTCCTGAGTAGCTGGGATTATCGGTGTGCACCACCACGAGCAGCTAATTTTTGTATTTTTAGTAGAGATGAGGTTTCACCATGTTGGCCAGGATGGTCTCGATCTCTTGACCTCAAGGGATCCATCCATCTCGGCCTCCCAAAGTGCTGGGATTACAGACATGAGCTACTGTGCCCAGTCAGAACTTTTTTTTTTTTTTGAGATGAGGTCTCACTCTCTTGCCCAGGCTAGAGTGCAGTGGCTCAATCTCAGCTCACTGCTACCTCGACCTCCCGGGTTCAAGCAATTCTCCTGCCTCAGCCTCCCAAGTATCTGTGATTACAGGCATGCACCACCACCTTTGGCTAATTTTGTTGTTGTTGTTGTTCGTTTGTTTGTTTTTTGAGACAGCGTCTAGCTCTGTCACTCAGGCTGGAGTGCAGTGGTGCGATCTTGGCTCACTGCAATCTCCGCCTCCCAGGTTCAAGCTATTCTCGTGCCTCAGCCTCTCGAGTAGTTGCGATTACAGGCAAGCACCATCATGCCAGGCTACTTTTTTTTTTATTTTTAGTAGAGACGGGGTTTCGCCATGTTGTCCAGGCTGGTCTCAAACTCTGAGCTCAGGCAATCGGCCTGCCTCCACCTCCCAAAGTGCTAGGATTACAGGTGTGAGACACCGTGCCTGGCCTAAATTTTTGTATTTTTAGTAGAAACAGGTATTCACCATGTTGGTCAGGCTGGTCTGGAACTCCTGACCTCAGGTGATCCACCAGCCTCAGCCTCCCAAAGTGTTGGGATTACAGGCATGAGCCACCATGCCTGGCCTTTTCTTTTTTTAAATTTTTGTTTCAGACAGTCTCACTGTCACCCAGGCTGCAGTACAATCACACAATCACAGCTCACACAGCCTCCTCCTCCTCCTGTGCTCAGGTGATCCTCCCACCTCAGCCTCCTGAGCAGCTAACACTATAGGCATGTACCATCACACCTAGCTAATTTCTGTATCTTTTTTAGTAGAGATGGGGTTTTTCACCATGTTGGTCAGGGTAGTCTCGAACTCCTGACCTTGTGATCCACCTGCCTTGGCCTCCCAAAGTACTGGATTACAGGTGTGAGAAACTGCACCTGGCCAGAGCTACT